GAGATGGATTGGCGAAGTGGCAGCATCAATGGGCTCAAGCATGGCAACAATAGTGAGGTTGGCCCAGGGTTGGACAGTGTTTCATTCTGTTGTGCATAGAGTCGCTATGAGTCAGTACTGACTCGATGGCACCTAACAACAACAACAGTCAGGACTGTTTGGTTCTAAGGACCAGAGTTCTACTCATACTAATCAAATGAAAGGAACGTTTCTCATAAGGATAAATGTGTACTAAAGCTAGAAAATCATCAGACTCTGAGGCAAAAGGACAGGCTATTGCATATCTTTTCTAGCAATATGCCTCAGGGTTTCTCCTTATATACATATTCTACTCTTTGCTCTATAAGATCCCGCCAAGCCATATTTTCCCTGCAGGACTACTGAGAAAAAAGGAATCAATTTCACTAGCTCTCCTACGAATATGCTAATGATAAGTAAGGCGTGGTGCTGGACTTCAAGGTTAATTTGAACTACAGGTCGCTGGTTCAAGCTCACCAGCTACTCTGGAAACTCTATACAGGGTGGTTATGAGTCAGTACTGACACTCGACAACACTTAACAACAACAATCCATAAACTGCCTTTAAGTATCTAAATATAACTGGCCTGTCCTAATTCCTTATTTAAATAAACTTGAAATTTGTGAATTTATGGGTCATGGTTCATTGGGAAATGAGATATAAGTACTCATGTTTCAACAACCTAATCACTCCATACAACATCCTTCCATCTGTAGTGCAGCCCCCATTTCTGGTGGTGGTAAATACCTTCAGTAAAATGGCACAGTTCATCCTTAGAATGATGTTATCATTAGTTGCCATCAAGTCAATTCGGACTCATGGTGACCCCAGGCATACAGAACAGAAATATGCTACATGAGATTTTCAAGGCTGTGACGTTTGGGGTGAAAAGACTGCCAAATATTTCCTCTGAGGTACCTCTGAGTGGGTTCAAACTGCCAGTCTTTTGGCTAATTGTTGTTAAGTACCATAAAGTCAGATCTGACTCACAGAAACCCTGTATGGAGTTTGTGAGGAGTGGCTGGCGGGTTTGAATCACCGATCTTGTGGTTCAAGTGGAACTTGTGGTCCAGTGCTTTATCCTACAGTGCCACAGTGAAAACTAATCTCAGAGCCCTATTTATTGCTTAGCTTTGGAGATCAATGCTCAAAATCCTTTAAAATATGATGATCTGAATACAACATAACATCTTTAGACCAGGACTCTAAGATAATTTCTTACTTGTGTATTCTAAATGTATCTAGAAAGCTACAAAGGCTATCATATAAACTGTAAAATTTTAGTCTGAAAATATGTGAAGGGCTTTTTGAAGTAATACAAGGTACTTGTTGTTGTTAAGTGTCGTGGAGTTGGTTCTGACTCACAGAGACCCTGCACAAAGTTTCCGAGGCTGTGAATCATTACAGGAGCAGAAAGCCTCATCTTTCTCCCACGGAACAGCTGGTAGTTTTGAACTGCTGACTGTGAGGTTAGCAGCCTGATTCGTAACCACTACGCTACCAGAGCTCCTTACAAGATACTTACAGACACATATTCAGGAATAGAAAGCTGATCTTCCGGGAAAGTTTTTAGTTTCAGATACTGCTCTTCTGCCAACTCAAAGTCACGCAGGTTTCGACGAATGTCTCCAGCCTTCTCTCTGAGCTGAAGATTTGTTTCTTCCAGTTGTTTCTGTCTCCGTAAGATAGTTTCCATTTCTTGCTTTAATAATTCTTGATATTTTCTATATTAAGATAGAATTTACAGCAAACTTAAAATTTTTTGACATTAATTTTGTTTCTTCTTTATTGTAACATAAAATTAGAAAGTGAGAAGTTCAACAGAATTCTTCTATTTTTACTACTTATTTACTTAACATGTTAAACATGAAATAACAATTCTATTCTAATAATTACTAGGTAGACACATAAATGAAGTATTGATATATTTTTTTAAATGACTTCAAAAAATAAGTTGGAAAAATTATACATTTTCTCTGCTTAAGACTTAAATCTCTTATATCTGTTTTGAACCCTACCCATGAAAGTAATTTTCATTCTTTTTATCCAGACACTTTATGGTATACAAAGGCATATCAAAGTCCTGGTGTGGCACTGTGGGTTAATATGATGGATTATAAAGTTGGTTTGAATCACAGGGTCGGTGGTTCACGCTCATCAGCTGCTCCTTGGAAACCCTATATAGGGTCTCTATGGGTTGGAACTGACTCATTAGCACTTAACAACAACAACCACCACCAAAATTTTGGAGTCCTGGTGTGGCACTGTGAGTAAATCAATGTACCACTAACCACAAGGTCAGTAGTTCAAACCTACCAGCAACTCCTCAGAAACCCTATATAGGGTTGCTATGAGTCTGAACCAACGCAAAGGAACTTAACAAC